TAAAAAAGTAAAAAGCAAATAAGTGTGGTTATATTCAATTCATTTTTAAACATCGTTTTGAACGTTAGTGAAAGCAGACAAGTACTTTACACAGTTTTAACAAGGTGAAATCACCCCAAAGACGTTACGGTTAACCATTGGTATTTCAATACATAGTTTCCCGAGACATATTTTTAAAAGGTTCATGTCAAAGCAATGAGACACGGGCTTGGAAAAATAAAGGATAATAAATATTTAACTAGTTCCGTTTTCAAACCTTATAATGTATTAATCTTGTCACTTACCAATACATTGCATTTAAAATGTCATGATACGACATGATAGCCGGGTATCCGAACTTGGTACCTGCTTTTTTCGAACTCTCCATACAATAAATGTTATTAAAATTGCAACGATTTTTGGTCCCTTTTTGAGAGACTGAAAACGACTTATTTGTTGCAAATCCCATGGACTATTGTAATTGCGTGTCTGTCCTTGGATCCAAGCTAGAGTAACTCTACTGTCCGTAAGATAGCGCACTCTTTCGAATTCGAAACGAGATTCTTGTTGAATGGTTTTACCGAGACGACTTCCTATTACTGCGGCTTGAAGCTCAAGGCGAGGAATTGTGAGCTCTTTGAGTGGTGCAACCCTTGACTTAGCTGCAACAAATCGTACACCGAATTTTCCATCTCTTTGTTTCCATCTTATATAGGCAACAGCACCGAATGCTAAACGAGATGCATCACAGAACACGATAAGACAGGGTTTACCAAAGGCATCAGATGGCGTTAGACAACGATCAAATTTAACATCATTGAGCTTTCTAATTTCTTTGAAGATACGAATCCACTTTTCTCTCGAGGCTGATGGAACTTCATCATCCCACTTCAGACCGAGTTGCCACAGCTCTTGCAAGGCAATCTTCGATTTGATCACAATGGCCGCTGCAACTCCGATTGGATCGAAGATGGCTGCAAGTTTACTTAGGATTTTTCGCTTTGTCAACTTTGATGAAACGTCAGGACTTTGGTTGGTCGTTACGTCTCCAGACTTAATTTTGTACGATAGCTTGTCTTCTTTGGGTATCCAAACAGTTCCAAGAACTCTTTCGGTATCGTCTCTACTGCCGACTATAACTTGCTCATCCGATGATTCTTCTCCGTTGATTGGTGCATTTGATATCTATCTTTTGATATGGAAACCGCCTGATTCGAGTACTTCATCGATGTCTAAAGTAAGATCTTTGGCTTCTTCTTTGGTGGAAACGGAGTCGCATATATCGTCAACATAAGCGTTCTTGACAATTGCTTCTGCAGCTCTCGGCTTGACATCTTCCTTTAGACTGGCTGTCTTTCGCATTGCAGTCGTAGCCATGGCAGGCGCTGGTCGGTCTCCGAAGGTTAGAACAGTTTTTACGTAAATGTCCGGCTCTCTTTCGGTCTCGCAATTTTGCCACACAAATCTGTGGACATGTTGATCAGCTAATGGAATTGACACCATGTGATACATTTTCGAAATATCTCCGGAGATAGCTATCGGGTTCTCTCGGAAACGGAGGATGACGCCAAATAAATTGTTCAACAAATCGGGTCCTTTGTACCAGTAGTCGTTGAGGGTTGCTGAACTGTTAAACACGATCCTCACGGGTGTACTCCTTTTCTCAGGACGAATGACAGCGTGGTGGGAAATGTAGTGCACAGGTCCGGTCCATTCTTCTAATTCTTTCTTTGTCAGCTTTCTAGAAAGCTTCATGTCTTCCATCTCCTTCATTTGACTGTTATAGCTCTCTGCATGATCTGGTTGTGACAGTAGTCGTCGCTCAGTGCTTTCCATTCTTCTGACTACATGGGTGTAGTTGTCGGGCAATTCTTTTGGATTTCTTTTCCAAGGGTACTTCATAGTCCATTTATTATTTTCTAGGCTGCACGACTCCTCAATTATCTTCATTTCAGACCGTTCTTGTGTTGACATTTTCGCTGCTTCGCATGTACAAGGTGACACAGATACTCCCATTGATTCAGTTGTCCAAAACTCACTTAAGTCCACTGGTGGAGCAAATCTAACATGGAGAACTTGTTTTACTTCAGGAGGTGAACGCTGGGACTTCACTCCAAATATCACCCATCCTAACGGACTCTTACGCGCTGCAAGACCATTCTTAACTTTGGTTTCACCCGCATGAAAGGTTGGATAGTTTATTCCAATTAAAATGTCAATGGGTCCTGGCTTTCGTTGAAATTCATTCTTTGGCAGGCCAAACATTTCTGACACTTGGTTGACATTAATTGTTGTTGTATCGTGCGAGATTTGAGGAATACCTACTGCTTCAATTGTTTGAATTGCTCGTCCATTTGCGGCATAAATCGGTACCTTGTATAACTTGGTGTTTAATTCTTGCTCAGTCTCTCCTACTTTGGCAATGAAAATTGTTACAGGCTTGCTTTCTAGTCCCAGTTCTTCAGCAAAGTCATCTCTAATCATACTAACTTGGGCACCACTGTCATAAAACACGCTCGCATTTCCGCACTTGTTGTTGGGACCTTTTACTGTGGCAGAGATAATGGGTAGAACGGCTTCGCTGTTGTCTTGTATGAATCCAACAACATTTCTAGGATCAGGACTTGTGTTTCCATGGAGAAGCCTGTGGTGAGGTTTCTTACAACTGGAACCGTCATGGGTTTTTTCCTGACATTCCTTCTTTCGCAGGCAGTTTGAGGCTGTATGACCTTTACTTCGCTTGAGACAACTAAAGCATGCTTTCTGCTCCTTTACAATTTCCCATCGTTGCATGGGTGTCATGGATTTAAACTGAGGGCATTGGTCAACATAGTGCATGGCTTTGCAAGCATAACACTGTGTCTTTGGGCTGTCCGATACTGACGAGTTAGCATTGTTACCTTTATATGATCCTGAATATTGACTATTATTTCCACCACCTGGAGCGTGGACACCATGTCGATAGGGACTGCTGCTTTTTCTGATTGTAGCACCCGAACGTAATCGCACAGTCATTTCTTCTTCCATCCATGCCAACAAATTAGCTAGTGAAGGTTCCTTTTCTTGTACGTAAATATGGCGAGACCAGACTTTCAGATCATCAGGTGTCATTTTTCGCTCAATCAAAGAAATTATGTGGGTGTTGTCCATATCTTGAGGCCGTTTTACTTCTTTCAGGATATTGGACGACTTTCGAATGAGGTTGACCAAATCACAAAACCGATGATCATCGCCTGACTGTAGGGGTTTAAATTTCTCAAGGTCTGCAGTAATTGTATCCGAGATAATTCTAGGATCTCCATAGTTGTGGTCCAGGTATTTCCATGCAGTTTTGAGATCAGTTGTTATTCCTTCAATGAGCTTAGCTGGTTCAGGGCCCAAACATGACCGAAGAACAGTGATAGCATCTCTTTCTGAACAGTGATGTTCAATGGCGTGTTGGAAATCAGACTTGAATATGAAATATTTTCTAACGTCTCCATAAAAGGTTGGCAATTTTGGTTTTTCATGCTTTACATAGAATGACTTTGAGGGCATTGTTACAGGGGGGACATCTACTTCACCCGTATTTCCAGTTTCAGTCGACTGAGATTCACTTGAGAGTACATTGTCACTGGGAGGTTGAGTACTAGGCTGATTATTTATTTCAATGCTGGCTGCACTTACTTCTTCATTTACTTTTGTCTGACTGGTCTTTATTTTGATATAATCATTGATGACAATAGAAAGCTGTGTGTACTCACTTGAACATTCATTTAACCAGTTCTCGGCTTCATCAAATTCTTCATCATTCAAAAACATAGCGTATTCTTCATGTTTGACTATTAAAGCTGCATATGAATCCTTTATTTCCTTTAAAATATCCTCAATTTCCTGAACTGGCCGTTCAGCTTCAATTAAAACCTTTGCAGTCCTAATAACTCGAGTTAACTTTCCTTTAGCGGCACGGCGAACATTCTTGGCCTTTTCCAATCGTTCCTTTTCCTCAGACATTGTATAAACAAACACAGTATTATTCAAACATTAATAGCAACATAAATCCACATAAATTTTCACTTGTAAACCTTTGAAATACAGTATCAAGGAAATCTTCAGATGATATTTCCTTAGTTCAAGATTAGACACGACGACGAACGCAACATTTCAGGATTTTGATCAATTTAATAATACATAAATGTGATACCAGATAATCTGAAGCTACAAAATACAAATATGACAATGTTTACGATATAGATCTAAGAAATAAAGTTCAAAATGGCGAAAAGTAGGTAAACGTACATTTGTCCGACTACGTCCATCGTTTCTAACCTTTCTTCAACAATAAAATCTAAATAATTTGTTTCTTTACTTTAGTTTCACTTCGTGCTGGCCGCCATCTTTGTTTTCGTTTATTTCGCCCCAGTCCTCTAGCGGCTCTTGCTTTCAAACGCAACACAGGTAACGAGCGAAACATGATGGTTAAATACTTCAACATGTCTTCTGGGTTTATAAAGGTCGTCATCTTTAATTTCTTTTCGTTCAAAATTATTACTTTAGCGTAAACATGTGGAAGGTTTTCAGCGTCACCGTGCCCTTGCGTAGTGATTACTACTTGTGTCTTTGCGGTATTCGTCGATTTACCCTGTGAGAAATAATCGTATCGCTTTTAAAAATGCAGCATTCCTTTGTTGTTAATTTGCCGAGTGTTCTTGTGAGGACATTTTGCCGACAGTTAGACTATATTGCGGTAGTCGCAAACAAAATGATCCAGATTAAGACAATGTTTCACAGGATAATTTTCAAGACGATTCGCGGTAACGCAGCGCTTTGCCGAACAGATCAAATTTCGTGTAACTCGTCATTTTCATGACAAATCGTCGTCGAAAATCGTTCTGTGGAATATCGCCTTCAGGCCGAGACACAGGACGTGATTCGACAACGCGGCCCGATTTTTCGATTTTCAATGACCGATAACTTTGATCCTGGTTTAAGTTTTCCAACTATTTAAGAAGCGCTATGGAACATTTTGAGTTATTGGGTCTACATATCTTTTAAAATTTCCTTTCATTGGCTGATTTATTAACTTTCAAAACCTGAAAAATCGCACCGCGTTGTCGATTCGCGTCCGGTGTCTCGGCCTTAATTAGATAAAACGTTCAACGATCCTATAAATCTTCAGATCTATCTATACTTACCTCATAACCAGTAATTTTTTATCTTCAACATTATTCTTCTCCACTTCTGCATCAACGGAATCCCGAGTAACTTTCTCCACGATCCCAACTGGTGGAGGACTGTCAGTAAACACCTGCTCCAACGGCAAAACACTTCCAATGTCTCTATACCCAAAGCGAGGCCCCTCACACCCAAGTGGAGACCCGACACTCGACACCTGAGTGGAGTTCACCTCAGTTCCGGGTATGCTGACGTTGTCAATGTTTTGCAAATTGGAACAGGTATGTTCACACGATGGAATAAGACAGCCATAGTTCCAGGATTCAACATCTGCAGATTCTTTCTCACCAGCCATTCCACATCACTGTCAACAGTTTCGAATTCAGTTTGTGGTCGTTTCTGGATTGGTAGTTGATTATCACCGCAAAGCGCAATGATAAACTCAGGAATAGTCCACATCGGGACTTCGTGAACGTCATTGCTGCTCAACTCTTCTCCATAAAGACACTCGTCTACAGAGTTTTCTTTGCCACCACGAGGAAAGTTGTCGGAGTGTTTGATGTCGTCTCCCTCAAGTACCACTGCTCCAAGCTTGTTATCAACATATTTTGTCACAGATTTTTGCCCAAATGACGCTGGGTGAAACATCGGAGCTCCCTCAGCCTTTGCTTCTAACATTGGAATACTGGAAGACTCATCAGATGTCTGCAGACTTGGATTATCTGCAGATTCTTCAGGAGATTCAATGTTATCCTTCACTAAACATTTGCCAACTTTCGCACAGGTAAATGTTAAGCTTTTTTCTACAGTTGAAAGATTTTGAATTTTGTTTAGTTTAAACATTTGTTCAAATCAAAAATAGACTATATAATTATGTGGAAGATGAGCGCGCGCGAATAGAGCTAGCGAAGGGATAGTTGCATAGCAACGGACAGGGAAAAAATTGAAAATGTTACAATTTTTTCATAAAAAATTATAATTTAAAATAATTGTTACCTTTTTTCTGTTCAAACTCCGACTGTTTTGGAAGTTCTTTATTCAACTGTTCTTCAATCAGTTTCTCTTTCTTGCTTTTATTGAAAGAATTCAGATTCTTTTGATCATTTAATATTTTGACTCGAGGAACTTCTTTGTTCTCCTCTTGACATTCCAAAGCTTCGTTTAACTGGAATTGAACCTTTCGCACAAGATTTTGCTCTTCAGCGCTCGCCATTTTTACGAAATGTAGTAATTTTAACTGCTAGACACGCAACGTACTATCTCTTGCAATATGCCAATTATGACAAAGTTCATTGTTACGTCAAAGCTTTGTATACGCTTGCGCCAGGAGAAAGGATGATGGGTAATGAATTGGCGCGTGCTTTGTGATGTCATTTAATTTTTCACTGGTCTTCTTCCACCAGCTAGGCAACATTTTCGCGCAAATAGACTTTATATGGACATGTCGTGACAAAAACCGTTTTTGCAGAATTAAAATTCGATACATAGACAACAAAAAAAGATTCGTGTTTTTTAAAGATGATGTCCACTCCGTTCTGCGCATCAGTTCTGCTCATAACAAAGGGGGACCCCCAGATATAAGCATTGCATAAACCTCGCATCTTTCGAACTTTTTTGAATTGAAACGTATAGTTTATATTCATTTACAAGTATAGCGAACCAGAAAATTTGTTAGATATTCAGTTAGTATATCATATGTTACAAATATAGCAGTTCAAAACGTAAACAAAGTTCGCGCATGTGCACAGGAGTGGACATCATCTTTAACTTACTATATGGATCAATCAGTCGAAACAGGATAAATGTTGTTCCAAGTTCACAGTTCATCAGTGTTTTCAATAAAAATCATCACAGCAGGCTGCATTTCCAAAATAGGCGTCTGCGTTCAAAAATGTCAAGTGAAAGACAAATATCAATCCTTGTTTAAGTTTTCAGTAAAAAGCAATCTGCTATAAATTTAAGACTGATTTGGACTTCTTTCTTCTCCCCACCTTAAACTTTTAATAAACGAGTTACGTTATCCCCTAAAACGTTGTTCTAATCCACATTTTTTAGTAACGTGCCTACTCTAGCCTATGGCTGCTTTAGCCTATGCCTGCTCTTACTGTTCTAGGTTGTCGACGACCTTATACAGTTCTTGTCGTGTCTTTTTTCAATTTGAAACTTTACAATTACACTATCCTTGGATCCCTAGTTACTTGCTTTATACTATTTTCAATAAAATAATACAATTAATGTCGCTAGAAAATTACAGTAAACGAAAAAATAACCGGCTGTCAGAGGCGAAATAGGCAGCGGTAAACCGCCGGTAAGTTCGGTAACCGCCTCTTATTGAAAACACTGGTTCATTCTTTATGGAAAGTGATTTTAACTTTGTTACTAGTTGTTATGCTGATTAAAGATCTTGAATAACATGGCAACTTCAATACTGTATATAATCTCAAATACAGAACTAATATTATTCGCAAAAGAGTGTACATTAATACACTGTACATTTCGATTTTTAAATCAATACCCGCTTCTGGAGAGTGCATCACCTTGGCCACACAGGCTCCTCACGAAAACCAGGCTCTATAGCCAAGGTGACGTACATTCCGGAAAGGTGTATTCGCAATTTTTCTTTCCGCTGTTAAAAATAAGACAAGACCATCGAGAGCGAGCGAACTACAATAGGCTCTGCCCTGGCTCTGCTGACAGGGTGCATCACAACCTCGTTCCCAGGCTATTTCAACAGGAACGAGGTTGTGATGCACCCTGCCAACAGAGCCTATTGTAGTTCGCTCGCTCTCTATAATACATGTAAAACTTTTATGTAAAACTTTTAAAAAAGTTGGGTGGTTGGGAAAAACCTCTGACACTCAGGGTAGGGGAAATGCCCTAGAAATTCACCTTGACAGTGAGATCCTGCATCATCGCCTATGACCATCGCTCAATGGTGGGAAGAGGCAAGTTTCCTAGTTCATCCTAATGTACAAAATCCTGTCGTTTCTCTTAAGGAGGTGCAAATTCAATCTGTAGTTTGCCTGAATCGAGACATTCCAACTCTCCCGAGGTTCCCCATTTCTTGACTTATTAATTTAAGCCTCAACTTTAAATAAGAAAATTGAATGTGCTTCGCCTTCACCAGCAGTTAAGCAACTTCAATGAAGAAAATAGGTGAATTAATCACCTTTTCAAAAGAGAAATTACCAAAACCAAAGGTTGGAATGTCTGTGAATGAGGTGAGAGTAATTTCCTAGAAATTTATCCAAGAGTAACTTCTCTCTAGTTGAGGGGAAAATTTCCTGTAACAAGTCATGGAACACAAACATTTTTAAAAATGTAACAACTGCATGCCTGAGTGAAAGAGTTGATGTTGCATATATTGTAGAAATTCCATGTCCCACTCATATAGTTTGTGAACTACATGTATTCTAAGCTTTTCAGACATTTAACAATTAATTGTTTTTCTACATGCAACCCACATATTTTAGCTAAATCTAAAGCATGTTTTGCATTTCTTATAGCTGCTTCATTGGAATATTGACATTGCAGAAGCAGAGCTTTAACAAAACTAAATCTACATTTTGTTTCCTGATACAGATGAGCATCAGACAAAGTTGAAATCATCTCTTCTGCAATAACCACACTGTCATTTTCTGGGTTAGCAAAAAGAAACAAAATTGCTATACAAAGTTGGGTACTGTGAATTTTGTTGGTTATTCTTGCATGTTTAGAATTATAGGACTCCTGATAATGACTTATTGCCTTCTCCAGTTTCTCTTTGGCCTCAGCGATGAGCCCTTTATTAAAATTTGGAACCTTTAACAAAAAGCTAATCAATAACCAGCCTTCATTGTAATGTAAGTCTCCAGTGTCCTCACAAGGCTTAAAATTAATCAGCTTTTCACTGGCAATTTTCAAACATTCTTCAGCATTTCCCAGTGACATATCAGAGTGATGGCATAATGACAAACATGTGTAAGCACGGGCAATCAGTAAATCTTTGTTTTGACTCTTTGCTGGTATTGCTTCCAATGCCTGCTTAATCAATAATTTGGCCATGGCAAATTTACCCTGATGACACACAGCTTTGCTTTGTTCCAGCAGTATGCATGCCTTAATATCGGATTTGCCTTTCTCAGAACTAGATATTTCATCTCCAACAGAAATGCACTTCTCCCACAGACAATGTTCTTGTAGATGTTGCAATTTTTCCATAATATCAATATATACTTTCTCAGAATACAATGAACAACCATGTGACTTGCTATTTGAGGACTTCATAGAAATGTTTCTATTTATAGTACATTTCTCAATATTTGTAATATCTAATTCAATGGTGCTTACAATCTTATCATTATGACCATGTTTGTGCAGTTTCAATGTTATCATAATGTGGAATCTGCATGACTTTCCAAAAAATCTAAACCAGAAGCCATAATCACCAGGTTGAATATGGCTAAAAGTGCAATAATTTAGAGGGTGATATTGGCACACTTTGTATGTTGGTAGATCAACCAGTTGTTCATCAGTAGGATATCTGGTAATGCTGCTTATTCCCAATAAATATGTTGGCCCATTAATTAAACTGTTATTGTTCTCTAACGTACTTTGTCCACCACATTCATAGCGGATAGAAACACGTTCCTGTTTGCTTCCTGATTCAGAATTGACCACATGTACAGCGCAAACTTTCACGCAACAGTCTTTGGAAGAAGGAAATTTTCTTCGATTTTTTCCGTTCTCTATTGGCTCTGACGGTGAATGAATTAGAACCAATCTAGGCGGTGAAATCTTTCTTCGAACGGGTTTAACTGAAGAACAAAACTCAGTTTTAACTTTCGACATATTTTGTCAAGTACAACTGCGGGACAACTGCGGGACTTTTCACGAATGTAGAATATATTCACGTGCCAGTGTTTCCAATGGTGTTTCCATGTTGAAGTATTATAAATTTAAAATAATTAAAATTATACTGTAAATAGAAGACAAAGAGTAGAAGCGTTTAATATATTTTAAAAAAACCTTGAACCATAATGAAGAACCTTGATTCAGTTGTTTGTTTGATGTAGAAATGTAGAATTATTAATTGTGGGAAATTTCGTTATCCTCCAAAAAGACTTTCAAAATCACTCGCGAGTGCTCGCGATACGCGTGCGTTCACGTCAAAACAACATGGCCGCTCAAGTTTGTAACGATACAAGTGATTCAGTTGAATTATGTCCTGCAAGAGGTCTTTACCTCAAGCCAGTGACAAAACTTACTATTCTAGTAGGTTTGCCAGAGATACGGGAAGTTGGAATAACCATTTCAAACTGGGAAGTAATGGAGAAAGTCAAATCTATGGTCGCTCCAGTTCAATTCAGTGTGCTGAGAGTTGTGGAGTCTTCACTGGAAAAAATTCAGTTTGAAGCTGAAGTTGACACAAAAGCACTGTTGGCTAGAACTATTACGAAACTGGATGGTAATATGATCAAATTGAGTGGACTAGCAGATGCCCTGAAAGTACGTGCCTATGAAGCAAAATTGAAATACCCTGTCAAACATGATTGGCAGGCTTTCTTCAGAGACGCTAAGGATTTGAATGAGTGGAAACCTGGGGAAAGACCTGACACTATCCATGTAAAGGGCTTACCATCCAAGTGGTTCAGTGATGACAAATCTGGAAATAAACCAGTCAAAGAAGTGATTGTTAGTGTGTTTGAAAAATTTGGAAAGATTCGTTATCTAGATGTGCCAAGTTTGGACCCGTATAGATCACGTATCACCAAAGAGCATCAATCTAACTTTCAGACATTCTGTTTTGGTTCTGAACTACATTTTGAAGTGTATATTCAGTATGAAGATTATCAGGGGTTTGTTAATGCTATGAAGGGGTTAAAGGGAATGAAATTATTGTTAATGTCTGAAGGCAGCAAAGCAGCAACAGCAACAATTTGGTTTGATTTTGATAAAACCTGTCATCTAAGTGAGACAAACATTAGGAAGAGAAATGCAGAAAGAAGACGTTTGATTGAAGAAGACAGATTGGAAGAGCTAAGAAAAGCACGAGCAAAGAAAGAGGCAGACGAAAGGGAGCGAGAAGAGAGAAGGAAAGCAGAAGAACATGCTGCTGAGTTATTAAGACAAATACAAGAAAGTAAACGAAAGAAAGAGGAAAGGAGAAAGGCCAGGGAGGAAAGACGTAGACAAAAACGAGAGGAAAAGAAAAGATTAGAAAGAGAACGTAAAGAAAGAGAAAAGCAGATGTTGCTGGAAAAAGACCGTATTGAGAAGTTACGAGATACACAAGCAAGGAATGTTTGTGAGGAACTTTTTCAAAGAATTAGTGATATGCTCGCCGAGGAAGAAGAGGCAAGAAGAAAGCGGGAGAAAGAGCTTGCCATCTTGGCTCAAATCAAGGAAAAGAAAGAAAAGTTAGAACAGGAATTGAGAAAGAAAGAAGAAGATGAAAGAATGAAAAAGAAACAAATGGAAGCCGATGAACAACAACTAAGAGATAAACTTCTTAAAAATCTTACAGTCATGAAGGAAAGAAAAGCTGAACTGGAAAGAGAAATATTGCGCAAACAAATCCAGGGGAAAATAAAAATGGTGTCAGTTGTAAAAACAAACACTTAATTAAACAAAGTTGATATATTAAACTAAAAGCCGATTTACACTGCAAAACCTTTGCCTAAAACTGTCGCATGCAACCTGCTTACAACTTGAGTTGTACTGTGTAAATCAAGCACACCATTACAACTCACCTATGACAACAATTGTGTAGTGTAAATCGGCCTTATCGTCGATTTCAGTTCACTTTTCAAGACGCGGTTGCGAAGTTCGTTCCCAAGTTCCCAATAGGCTTTGATAACGGCGATGCATTGCGCAGCAAATCCCAGTGGTAGTCAAGAATTTTTCGAGATCCCAGAGGCAGTTTACTTTTGGCAAATATAACGTCTACATTTTCCGGATCTAGCAGCTTTAATGAGAGCCGAGATGTAAAGTTATCTCTTAATGTGTTTGTTATTATCTCGTAGCTTTCTTTACCAATCTTTTGTTCGATATTTTCTAAGAAATCCGTCAGTTCTTCGCATGCCATTACATATATCTCACACCATGTGCCGATTGAACTTCGGAAGTTCGTTTTGAAGTTCGGAAGTTCGCTGCGAAGTTCCAGCCCAACTTCCGAACTTCGAAACGTAATCGGGAACTTGGGAACGAACTTCGCAACCGCGTCTTGAAAAGTGAACTGAAATCGACGCAATCTCGTTCCCCGAGCCTGCGATCCTCGGGAAGGAACGTGAGGCTCTGGGATAATCCGTTTCAAGGAGGAATCTGATTGGCCGTTGAAATGGAATGCGCAGTTCAATCTTAGCCAGGATTCCTTGCTTCCGGCAACGGATTATGCCAGAGCCTCGCGTTCCTTCCCGAGGATCGCAGGCTTGGGGAACGAGAATGAAATCGACGATAAGGAAACATTTACATGGGAGACACTGATGGGACATGAACAGTGAATTATATTAAACATATTGCTTGTAAAATTGTGTTGAGTTACAAAAATATCACTTGATTTATTTTTCTAGAGGTGTGAATGATTTGTAACTGTGTTATTGCCATTATTATTTGATGCACATACGAAAAAGCTCTTAAAGTTCTGCACTTTGTGATAAAGTTCTTCTATAAAATAGAAACAATGATAATCATTCATCTCTATATGTCATTATAATAATAATAATGCATGAGTAAATTAGCCAACCATGTTGCTTTATTTTGTTCACATGATAATACTGGATACCTGGTAAGGCTGGTATTAAATTAATTCACTTCACTTTAAGTAGTGATTTATTCGTATGAGATGTCATTTCAAATCCTCCAATTCGGACCAGTGATTCGGACTGGATTAGATTTCAAGTCCTCGCATTTTGATCCAGTCCTCGGCCTTGATCAAATTGCGCGGACTTCAAACATAGTCCAGTCCTCATAGTCGGATTTGAAATACTACGTCAATTACTCTTGCGATATTTCGAAAGAAACTTTGTTGTATTGTAGCGAGGGACAAATTAGATGAGTCGTATAGTAACTAATTCATATAAATACTATTGATGCATATGCACATTACATGCACACGTGAGGGAGGTTGGGGTCCAGACCGCTGCACCTCTAAATTTTTTCCACCTCCCCCAACATTCACACCAAATGTATTTGTGTTAAAGTCAGACAAGTTAATGCACCCCAGGGCCGCCCAGAGGGGGGGGCAAAGGGGGCAATTTTCCCGGGCCCCCAGTTAAAGGGGGCCCCAAAATTTGCAAAAGGGGAGCCCTGAAAGGTGTAATTTAAAAAAAAATATTTGGAACGTTTTTTATATAAGTCATGGTATGAGAAAAAATTTTTGGACCTTAATTTTACTGTTATTGGTCGGAAAATGTGTTTTTGATGTGATTTTACAGTTAGTTGTCCGGAAAAATCTTTTTTTTGTGTGTGGGGGTGAATAGGTTTTCGGATCGTCGGATTTCACAGAAAAAATTGTTCGGATTTCGGATCTGGCGAATATTTTACACGGATTTGCGGATCTTATTAATACAGCGGATTGCGGGTTTATCTAATATTTTGGCTCGGATTTTAGTTCGGATCCTGGATTGTGACTTCATAGTAGAGGTCTTAGCGGATCCAAATTTAGACAAGACCATTGTCGGATCTCGGATTTTGCTTCAAATTTAAGCGGATCGGCGGATTTGTATACCCCTATTCACACACCCCCTCCTCGCTCGCCAACATGTTTGGGGAAAAATAGGGGCCCCGAATTAAAAATTTACCCTGGGCCCCGAATTTCTCTGGGCGGCCCTGATGCTCCCTACAAATGCACAGATCTATCTGAAACAGACTTCCTATTTGATATTCAGCCCTTGTACCCGAAGTTTGTTCCATATCTAGAAAGCAAGCGTTTCCGCTGCAGACTGTGCTTCCTCCCGCCATTTTGTATCTCAAAATGGCAGAAATTTAGCATAACCTCATATGCTGCTAAGAGGTGGGAGGTTATGATCGTGCTTGCATAAAGAACACGAAATACTGTGTGTATGTGCATTGCAATGCAGGGAAGGAAGACAGCACCCTGGAAAACACAGATCTTGTACTAAAAGAACATTTAGTCTCCAGCACCTACTCAGCGGCAGGGCGTTAGGGGTACCCTCGACCGGAGGTAACGCACGAAGTAGGTATGCGCAGGAGACACTTTGAACATATTCGAAAAATACGACTTAAACTGACGACATCATGCACTGGAAATATCCGTCATTGGGTCCGCGCCAAATCCCAGTGTGTAAAACCAGAAAATAGATACTAGACCAGAAGTGTCACTCAGACATTTTACGTGCGCTGACGTGAAAATACGCCATCATATCAGCGCCATGCATCCTGGAGTACACACGGCCGTTTTTCATGGGTACAAATATAGGTACAAAGTGCCGTGTGCACTCCAGGATGGCGCCATAGCACGTAAAAAATTTCGGACGTTTTTCCCAAGCCAAAACACGTAGGAGTGACACTTCAGGTCTAGTATCTATTCTGTGGTAAAACGTACCTTCAGGGAATAGTTTCAATATAAAGTGGAGAAATAATTTCGTTTTATTTTTAGCAACTTAAAATACCATGCACTATTAATACGCTTTCTAACAAGCTACAACTTCATTCCCCTCATTCAAAATTCGCATACTTATAATAAATTCCCTGTAAAAATCATGTTGCGCTTCCTTAACACAATGTTGAGCTTGTATCATGGTAAATTTACCCAGTTCAGGGTTTTTCACTACATTAAAGGGGGTCACGAAGTGTTTGCTTTGTCGATATACATTGACCAAAGCCAGGCGGTAATGCGAGGAATGAGGCCCTGTTAGGGGGGGGGGGGTCTGAATAATCCATAATCCTAGTAAAAATTTAAAAATAATCCGTATCCCATTTCTATAAACAAAAATATCCCTTTAATAATTTAAAGAAATGTGAATAGTCAAATTATTCCACGTGAGATCAAGTGACACTCGAGTGATTCATGCGTGTGATTCATGCATGTCACATACACACGTAAAAACGCACAAGTTGTAACAAACCTGCAGCAGACTTAAGTAGCAATGCTGTTCCAACAACTTGTCAACAGGATGTGTTCACACTGCTTGTTCCCAGCTTGTTGAGAACTTGCTACAAGGTTGTTGAGCTCAACAGACTTGTTACAAGCCGTGGTTCCAATTCCAACAACTTGATATCAACAATTTGTCAAGAAGTTGTGAGTGACAACCAGTGCCGTGCTGGCAGGGGAGGCCGGGGGGCCACGCCCCCCCCCCCAGCTGGCAATTCTTGGGGGGTGCAAAAATGAAAAGGGGGCGCCGATCCCGCGCGGAATTTTGAAAGTGGGTGGGAAAAACACATTTGAAAAAATATAGTTACTTCCGCCAAGAAAAGATGTGTTTATAGGCTTATATAAACCTGACTAAGCGCATAGACGACAAAGTGATATGTTAAATTGACAGACTATTTTGTCTAACCGTATTTGCTAATTTACCACTTCACGGCTCACACAAAATCGTTCATATAGAAACATGATCAGTGATCACACGCAATGTCTCATTACCGGAATATTGGTCAGCTTTCAAAGCGATCATGGGAATTATGTCCTTTTTTGCTGGTATTACGCCCTTCTATTATGTCCTTTATTTGCTTCACCAATCACGAGAGCGACGCAAATTAGATAGTTATGATAATGTAAAGTTGTGTACGCAATTTAGTTGTTTGTGCAAGAAACATTATGACTCACGAGTATTAAATGTAAGTAATAAGATAATGCTGAAACGTATTCTTTTGGCAGCAAAGCAAGGAAACCTTAAAATGCATATATATATATATACGTGGGATCCTTTTGTGTTATTGTATAAAAGAGCTGTAAGTTGTAAATGTATTCAGATCACTAGATCAGTAGAGAATAGAATTGGGAGTAGATTATTCGCTGGAATTAGTTAGCACTGCCCAATTTAAGTACTACAACTAAATTCTAACCAAATTGTGAATTTCAGATTTCTGTCAAACCTTCCCCCAAAGTCCAGGAAATGGCATTTCAGAGACTTCTAAATTCAAAAATTTTCCGAGGGGGCATGTCCCTGGACCCCCCCTATAGAGAAACCTCGCACCTGCTGCGCTCGCGGCTCGTGTCTTCGGCCACAGAATAAGAAGGTACAGCAGAAGTGTAACTCAAGCAAGTATTTGTCCGCGTTGCCGTTTTTACAAGCGATTCGTCATCAATCACGCCATCCTGGCTAGTACAACCGGCACTTTGTGCCTACCAAAACCTGATAAAAACTTCCGGTTGTACAGGTTGTACTAGCCAGCTAGGAGCGTGAGCAAGTTAAAATTTTCGTGGACTAAAACAATAAGGGAACCGACTCGAGTTACACTTCTGCTGTACCTTCTTATTCTTGTGCTTCGGCCCTTGTTTATCAAGCGCAATATATAGGGGTGCATAATAGTTGATAGCGCACTGCCCCCC